GGCTGGGGGTTAAGGAGAAGAAAAGTTAGGGTGCCTCTGGTCTTTCCTCTTGGTGACAACACCAGGAACATATCTGGACCTCAAGTATGAGGAGAGAGGATGAGGCAGGTGTGGGTGTTGCCCTCTCTCATCCTCAGAGGGAAAGAAAAAGTTCCCTTGGAGGTATGGCTACCTCTGGGTGACCCTCCTTCAAAGTTATAGGCCAAAGCTCCCCTCTCCCCTCAATCAGAACGTTTAGGTACTCTGAGAGACCATGGGCAAGAATGATGTCATAAATAGGTCAGTGAGGCCCATTTATTGAGCACCTAGGGCATAGCACAGATACCGGTGCCTTTTCATTCATCACCTCTGACCCTCACTACAACTCTGCCATGTGGGACTGTGGTCCCACCCCACGTGATTTACACATGAGGAAACTGAGGTTCAGAAAGTAAATCATGTGACCAGGTCACCCTGACAGGAAGTGGCAAGGTTGGAACTGGAAATTCTCTGAATCTTCTTTTGCTTGTCATTTGTACTGTCCCCTTCCCTTACTCTCCCGCAGTGGAGGGACAGCAGAGAAGAAACCTACCCAGCAACTCCTAGTCCCCACCCACTCCCAGCCCAGCCTGGCTCTGTCCCCTGAAATCCTCCCATGGGGCTTCTCTGGACATGGTCTGTATGTGGAGGAGGGTGAAGGGGGGCGCCCTCCTCTTACTGAGCCTGGGTCAGGTGAGGCCTTGGGCTCTTAGTGTGGGGATTCCCCTACATCCCACAGCAGCCCTTAGGAGATGGTGGGGCCTAGTCTACAGACAGTGACGCTGAGACTCAGGTAAGAATGTGACTTAACTGAGTCCCCACAGCTGCTTACTGGCAGGAGGGCCCCCCTCAGTCTGTGGAGACCACAGATGCCAGTGTCCTTGCCTCATCCCTCCCACACATGGTGTTCCCTGGGCTGCTTCCCCTCCAAGTGGTGACAGGAATCCCAGGAAGAAAAAGGAAGGACCTCTTGTAAAGTCACCATTTCAAGAAGTGGATATGTCAGCACAGAACTCCCACTCTCCCACCCTCCCTCCGAAAAGACAGACCCTCACTTACTTCTCAGTGGGTCTGATTCCACAGTAGTGCGCTGCTGATCCTCACCTCCTTCTGGGGAGTAGGACAGGGTGAGGGGCCCCTCCTTTAGGTTGGACCCCACAGCACCCTCTGTGGTGACCATCCCACTCCTCATCTGGCCCTGGCTCAGAACCCCGTGAGTCTGGTGTTACCACCCTCACCTCTGCCCCTCTCCCAGCCCGCCCCCCATAGGAGATGTGCTGGAGAGGGCAGGAAAGGTTCAGTCAGCTGAGTGGACAGGTCCACAAGCAGCCAGTCCCAGTGTTTGTTACTCACCAGCTCTTACTGTGGTCTCTGGATGACAAGATGCAGGGATTGGGGATTTAGGGAGGATGAGAATTGTCCTACCTCTGGCCTTTCTTCTTGATGACTATTGATCCTGTCCAGCCCCCACCACCCAACACACTTGAGGGTGAGACAGGGGTGGGAGTTGCCCTGTCTTTTTCCATCCCTTTGGGGGCTGAGTTCCTCTTCAGAGTTCCCTCCCTCACACCTCAGGCCAGGATTTCCCTGGGGACAGGGCCCTGAACTATTAGGATCCAGAGGGAACAGGGTCAGGGGTTCCTTACCTGAGACCACCAGCTCCAGGGGGTCACTGGGCTGTGATAACAGGTAGGGGGAGGTGCTGTGTGAAGTGTAGCACCTGTAGCTGCCCCCCTGGGCTGACATCACAGGACCCAGGATGAAGGTGGCCTGAATGGGCCCATGAGTGCCCGGCCAATGAAGGTGCTGCAGAGGGGCAACAAAGCCCTCCTTGAACAGAAGAAATGTGTCAAACCAGCTGGCTGGGAGACACTGCAGGGTCACGTTCTGCCCCGAGGTCACCGAGGGCCCCGGATGGGCTGAGAGGGAGGGTTTCTCATAGGCCCCTGTGAGAGAAGGAGACCAGGGTGTTCAGGGAAGCAGCCGGCCCCAACTCCCTTGAGCTGACCACTGTCTCCTCTTCAGGGGTGTTCTGTTGGGAGCCCTGTTTCACACCTCTGTTTCTCTGAGGGTCTCTCTTACCCCATGTCTCCCGCTTTCTCACCCTCTTCTTGGACCAAAACCACCATCTCAGCTCTGCTGGGGTACCTTATGTCCCTGACCCCATGTCCACCATGGGAGACCCTGGACCCACACAGAGGAGACCATGTGGAGATGTAAGGCTGGGCAGGGGCTCCAACCTGCCACCAGGATGTCCAGGGGGTCACTGGGGGTTGACCACTCGTAGGAGAGATTGTATCCACCGTAACACCTATATTGGCCCCTGTGGGAATTGTGCACAGGGCTCAGGGTGAAGTTGGGACTGTGCTGAGCGTCAAGGTTCCTGGGACCTGGGTGCTTCTCGTTCTTGGTCAGAGCAAACCTGTCAAATCCGGCCTCTGAGCCACACTGCAGGGTCAGGCTGGCTCCAGATAGCACCGGGGAGCCTGGGTGTGCCGTGAGGGAGGGCTTCATGTGCACCCCTGGAGAGGAGGAGAGGGTGGCATTGAAGGACTGCACTCCCCACTGTGCACGGGGCTCATACTGACTAGTGACCATGGCTGTGAAATGGGGGGAGGGGCTGCAGTGAGGCCACATGGTCTGTCCCACTCCCCTCTGTGATTCTGCCCCAGGAGGGCACCATCCCCAACCTCCCCCTCACCCACAGGGCTCCTATGGGCACATGGCTTAGGTCAGTCATTGATGCTGGGAAAGTGATGGGGCCGGGCAGGGGCTCTCTCACCTGTGACCAGGAGATCCACTGGGTTGCTGGCCTTTGACCACACATGGGGGATAGAGTCATATGAACCATAGCACTTGTAGGTGCCCCCACGGGAGGGGATCACGGGGTCCACAAGAAAATGGGCCTCATACTTCCCCATGGAGTACTGAGAGTCCATGTGCTGGACCACGGGGACTTTTCCCTCCTTCAGCAGATGGAAAGTGCGGATGGGGTAGTCTGATCTACAGATGAGGGTCACCTTCCCTCCTGAAGCCACCACAGAGCCTGGCTGGGCTAAGAGTGAGGGCCCAGGTGGATAGTAGTCTCCTGAGAGAGAGGAGGGAGCTGAGTTAAAGGGGGACACAGTCACCCCACATTACCCAGGGGGCGGTCTGTGAGGTATGAGTCCCACCCCTTAGGGCACATTTCATTCTCTTCTAGCTGTAGGAGGAGCTCAGAGTGGAGGGGGAGGGGTGCTCTGATCCCTTCCTCTTACCTGTCATGGTGAGGACCAGGGGCTCACTGAGCGGGGACCAGCTATTGGAGCTGTGATAACGACACTGGTACTGCCCTGCATGGTCACTGTCCATGGACTGGATGGTGTAGGAGTCCCCTTTCTCCCTGGAGTTCAGTAGGGTCATACCCCAGAAATACTGTCCATTTCTCAATAGATGGTATATATCAGCCTGCAAAGACGCCTGACACCGGATGGTCACAGGATTCCCCCTGGGGACGATGGGGTCTGGGTCAGCCCAGATGGAGGGTTTGGGGAGGGTTCCTGGAAAGAAATCAGAGTTGGTGT